GCACTTCCACAGCGATTGCACCGGGACCAGGAGTCTGTCTTGGTGTCAGTGGGACAAGGCAGGTGCTTGTGCTCCCCCAGGTGTGGTCAGAGGCAGCTCTGTGCAGAGGGCTGGGCTGCTGCCCCTGCTCTCTGACGGCTGCCTGTGCTGTGGGTGGGGGTGTTGCTGGTGGTGCTGGCAGCACTGGGGGCTGCTTTGGGAGGCTGTGGAGGTTCTCCCCGGCCCGGGTATCACCCTGGCACTTTGGGGTGCTGGCAGAGCCCCTGGGGATGTTCCTGCTCTGGTGGTTGCCAAGGTTATCTCGTGCCAGTGGGGCTCATGGTTTGCTTCTGCTCTCGTCACTGTGGTTTCTGCTGGTGGCAGCTGCCCGTGGCAGCAGGGCTGGGAGAGTTCCCGCGGTTGCTCTGGCTCCTCCTGGTGCTCCTGTTGCTGGTGTGTGGTGCCATGGGGTGCTGGCTGTGGTACCTGGCTGCTGCTGTGCTGAGCTGTGCCCTGACAGGCGTGGTTGTGCTCCTGGGCACCGTCTGAGCTGCCTGCTGGGGTGAGGTGGGAGGAGCTCTGGATGGTGGTGCCGGTGTTGGTCCCTTGGGTGCTCCGTGCCGGCTGTGGCACTGCTGGTGCCACTTCCAGTATTGTCATGAGGGGATGGCATCAGTGGTGAGCCTCCTGCAGAGCCTTGGATGTTCCTGTGAAAACACGGAAAGAAGCAGAGGAAGCCACTTCCTTAGCAGCATCTCCTGTTTGTATCCAGCAGTTTAAAGAAATAGTCAACACATGCTTGCAAGCAAGTCATTCTGCAAATTGCATGTTTCTAATGACAGTAATGCTCAACAGGCACGTAAGATCTTTTCAATGAATTAAAATTGTAGATCCTAATTTTATTAAATGTTTCATTGTTTTCAGTAGTGCTTTTTGCTCTGTAGGTTGAGTTACAAACCTCCTTTGACTGGGGAAATTGCCTTCCTTTAGCTTTTCTACATTTTCAACACCCTTGACTCTTTGAATGGAGTGGGAGAACACAAGATGAGTAGCATCACTTATCTTCTGTCCTGATTTTCTGTCTTCAAAAGCCACACAACAGTCCATGAACCTGCATGTGGGCTGACAGAAGGGGCTGTCCCCAAGAGAAGCTTGGATGCCTTTTTGCCTCACCTAAATTTCCTTTTTATTTTTTTAGAAAGATCCCTAATGTTTAAGTCCCTTCCATGTATAGAGTAAGCAGTGAGGGCAGCCTTTGGAATTCTCTTAAAAAAATTCTCTGCTTCCCACGTTTTTCTTCTCTATTTTGTTCCATTAGGCACAGTCCTATTTCATGTCACGTAAAACAGAATGCCTATGTTGTTATCCTGTCCTGTTCAGACAAGAAATGAGGCATATAAATGTGGAGAATAGTGATAACCCATCTTAAGAAGTGGCTGGCTGGCAGTGATCCAAGGCATCCTTAGGTATTCTGTGCACACCTGAAACGTGTGGGGTGTTTCTTTGCAGAGCAAGAAATGGTTATTTCATCTGCAGAGAAAGACTTTCTGGAAGTAAATGGATACAAAACTTGCAGCACGTGTTTGCCAAGCCCAGCTCTCTTACCTCCCCCTCCTCTAAAAGAGGAGGACTGAGATGGTCCCTGTCTGCCTTGCTCCTGGGTGGAATGTTGCCTCTCCCTGGAGCAGCTGCTCGGGCAGTTCCTCTGAAGAGGCTGCTGTGAAACCCAGCAGGACAGGCTTTGCTCTGGCAGGATGCTCTGGCATCTTCTCTTGTCATAGGGATGTGGCTCAGTGGGGCTTATTTGGGGTGTTTGTCACCTGGTTGTGAGCCAGATGTGTTTTTAAGGTATGAAATGTGGAAAAACTGTTTAGACTGGAGCTACCAGTATGTTTGAGGGCTTGCAGCAGGGATTTTTTGGGTTTTGGTGGGTTTTTTGGGTTTTTTGGGTAGTTTGTGATCTTGTTGCTAGGGCATTGTTGAGTCGTTTTACTGATATATCTGGATCAGTTTATATCGTTCTTGTGCTGTGAAATTTAATTCCTTCTGTCATCTATCTTCACATTTTGTTTCCTGGGCAACAGCCCTGCTTCTGGAGCCAGTGCTCTTCTGTTTCTAAGCCCTATCCTGTTACTAAAATGATCCATAAATCAATAAATATTGATCCTGAACTACTGCCATTAGGTTTTAAAGCCGCTCCCAAACTAATTAATAGGAATACAAAGCTGTGAGTTATTGCTGCAGAGCACATCAATCCCACGGCAATTTTAGCCTTTGGAGAGCGAGCACAGAGCTGTGAAAGGTGTGCCAGAGCGTTTTGGGGTATTTTGAGTATTGCCCTGAAATGCTAACTGGTTGTTTTGGAAGATAATCTCACTGAGAGCAGGTTATTTGGTGTTTCTGGTGCTCTGAGCGAACCCCATGTTTACAAACCAGGCCCTGGGTTTAGCTCAGTGTGACTGCACAGTTGCCCAGCAACAAGTGCTGGGCTGCCACACTGCTGCCTCCTCCAGCTCCCTTATCATTCGTATTCCATTCGTATTCCAGAAAAATACAGGCAAGCCTAAATTCCTGTCTGCTTTGTTGAAAGCAGGCTGAGGAAGAAGCCCTGGTGCTCTCCCCCAGCAGGGTTTGGGCAGGAGCAGAGCCCTGGAATGTGGCAGGGCCGGCTCACTCCATCCCCAGCTGCAGGTTTTGTGTCCCGGCTTCCCCGTCCTGTACCTGGATATGGAAAAACCCCCAACCCCACTTCCAGCCTTGGATTAGCATGCTGAAGACTCTGAGGTCTGGGTAGCAAGTCCTTCAGGGTGAGGGCTTGCAATTTGCCCCAAATAACTTCTGGAAAACAGCGCTTTCCTATTGCTGTCAGTGAATGGTGTCGTTGGGGGTGAAACATTCTCAGAGTGTTTAAAGTCAGTTCCGTGGAGGTTTTTTTAAAGCAGTAGAATTTGGCATCCTGTATTGATCCTGCAGCAAAGGCACGTGGAGGATTTCATGTAATTCCCTCAAATCTGGCAGTTCAGTCCCAGCCCTTGTTCTGTGATTGGTCCCCCTGTGTGGGATGGAGCCATGGGAATGAGAGCTCTGGGAATGCAGAGTTCTGAGCACCATGAGTAGGCTGGGGCTGTGTTACAGTCAGCCAGCACTCAGCAAACACATGGACTGCCCAAAGACAGTGACAGGCAGGGACGTTCTAGGGATTTGCAAGTTCTGAAGGGCAGGAGGGGAAGGATAGTCCCAGTGTTATGATCATGTCATCAGCTTATTGCTATACAATATTAGGGGTACATCAGTATCAAAATAGTATAATTTAACTATAATTTTCCCCCATAAGACATGAAGAGGGAGCCAAATGTCTGCTTGAAACAGGTTTGTGCTTATTTGAAAAGAAGCGCTGACATTAATTCAGTTCAATACAAACATAACTTTATTTTTACTTAAATGCCAATGAAATAACTGTACAAATCCATTGTGTAACATTTACTGTTAGAAATTAAAACACGTTTCCGGTTATAGAAATACTGTTCACAGTTGGAAAGTTGTGATTTCTCTGACACCAGTAGTTGTAAATGGTTTACAGCCCCCATTGACACCTTTAGGAGAAACAGGTAGAGGACTCCAGTCTCAGTTGTGAGGTTTTCTGGGTTTTGTAGCACCTTCATGCTACAATAACTGGAAATTAAATGGCCTGGAATGAATGGAAAACATTGTATAAGATCTGTAATATTAAGTGAGTAATACTTTTTCAATTAACTTGTTCTTCAGTTTTCATTTCATGCTGTTTGCAGAACTTCATCTGTAGTATATCAAGTACCTTTGCCATAATTTAAATAATTTTCCTAGAGTGGACAGAACCATGCGTGCAGCTATTTCTACTGGCTGACGGTGCAGATGGAAGGAGAAGAGCACCCATGCTCGCCCTGGGGAAGCAGCGTTTGGGCACGTTCAATGCCATGGACTCAAGTAATTCCCTGTGAAGCCCCAAGAGTTGGGATTGTATCACTGACAGCTCACCAACTAATTGCTTAATTGATTTGTTACATGACTTGTGCTAGAAACTGGCTGATATTTCGTTTTCCTGGTAGCAGTTTGCTACATTCTGGCTGATTTTAAGCAGAATATGTTAACATTTCCGGACGTCACTTGACGTAAAGTTAAGGAGTTCCATGTCGTTAATTTGGGCAGATAACTCCCTGGTGTTGGAGCGTGTCATGGCATTGAACATCTGGCCTTTTCCTCTACTTCTATCTTTTTTTTTTCTTTTTTTTTTTCTTTTTTTTTTTTTTATATTATGGAGAGAGCAATAACTTGCCTGCAGTCTCTAAGTGGAGACAGAGCAGAAGGATACCGGCCCCTACCACTTTCCCATGCTGAAGTTGGACCATGTTGCCTTCTCAGTTTACACCCTCTTAGCAGATATCATGGCGTTGTCGTATTTAATTCCTAAATTCAAGACTGTTGTTCTTCATATTTATAATATCCTAGTACATATGAAGCAAACATAGATACACATGCTAGCAGTTTTGCTCAGGAATAACTTCTTATTAGTGAAACAGCACAGTTTAGTTCCTTTATTTTTTTCCCTTCCTTTTGCATGTTGTCATAACTTACAGAGCATCTGTGCTGCTATATTACAGGAATTGCTCACTGGCAAGTTAAGCAAGACAATGCAGATATGATACAGGCCTTCTTTTTTTTTTCCAGTTGTTCAATGACAAAATCATACATAAAATCAGTACTTAAAATTCTGATGTGTTTATTCTGTGCAAGTAAAATGAAAAATTTAAATACAAAATAAGCACATTTTTAAAAACAAAATAATAGGTTAGTTGTACTCAATTAAGACGTATGAAAATAAGTAGCAGCTTAGTATCAAGACATTAGTGTGCACGTCTTTCCGAACTGTTATTTTCTTTAGAGCAGAGTCAGAGCTCTGCATTCCTTGTGTTTTGATTCATCATTTCAGCTGGATGTCTCGGCTCCAGCTGTGTATCCCAGGAACACAGCGGGTGGTGTCTCCCGGGCAGGAGCCCTCAGTGGGCAGCCATGGCCACTGCGTGGAGCAGGAGGATGTAAAGCAGGGAGAGCTGCCGGGTGCCGGCTCGGGAGGGCACGCGCGCGTGGGGAGCGCCCGTCGTGGCCTCCTCTCGGCTTAAGGTAGCGGTTGTGCTGTGAGGCACCTTGGAGTAGTTCGTTGGCATTCCACTGGTGATGCTTAAAGTCATGGGCGTGGTGGAAGATCCCGTGGAGTTGCCCTGGGTCGGATCCACGGCGTGGATCGTGCGCGTGGCTGCTGCTTCCTGGGGGCCGCCGTCCCTCCAGGTCAGGCCGTCGGGGTGGCGGAGCAGGGGCTGCTCCGTGCTGGGGAACAGAACCGTGTGGCTTTGGGTGGCCAGGGGAGTGACTTCCTTGGCTTTCAGTTGTTTGTGCGTTTTGGTCGCTGGGGTGGGTTCGGCTGCCTCGGCAGAGGTGGCTCTGTCTGTGCCCATCCTTCCTTCCATCAGGGCGCTGGAGTCCCCGGCCGTGGGCGCGGCGCTGGCCCAGAGCCCGGCCTGGTGGGCACAGGGAGCCCCCAGGACACGGGCAGCTGTGCCCTGCACCCACTGCAGCACGTAAGGGATGTTCTGTTTGTCGCTGCACGACCAGGGGTTGTTGTATAGAGTTACCACCTGCAGCTGAAGGAGCTGGTCAAAAGCTTTGTCGGGAATGTACGAGAACTTGTTGTTGTGCAGGTAGAGGCTTGTGAGGTGTTGAAGTCTCACCAGTGTTCCTGGGAGTATCTGGGACAAGAAGTTATTGGATAGATCCACCGTCTCTATATTGTAGGGGATGTTGGTTGGAACTGTCCAAAGTTTGTTGCTGCTGAGATTGAGAAACTTGAGACTGCTCAGTGTGTTGTTGATCAGGACAGCTCTTTCCACCATATTCCTGGAAACATCGAGCACTCGAAGATTCCACTGGTAAGCTGTATCAAGTTTCTGAAGAACTTTAATGTTGTTGTTTGTGGCATATAACTCCCATAAGGATTTAGGCAGATGAGCGGGAACATTCTTGAGCCAGTTATGTGAAATATCAAGGGTCCTCAGATTGGTGAACCTCGTTAGCTGATGATCGAGATCTACAAACTGGTTAAAGGACAGATTTAAATATGTAAGGTTGTCTTGGAGTCCCTGGGGCAGTACAGTTAAGTTTCTGCCTGAACAGTCCACATTCCTGTCGTTTCCTGAGCATGTACAGCTAGAAGGACAGATACCCAAACCAGTGGGTAGGAAAACCAGAAGGACCAGCAGACAGGTAGATGTATTCAATATCTGGTATTCCATTGTTGCCTGGAAATAAATATACCAAAATGACACCCTTTAAACCCATGTAATACATTTTATCTCTGTATAAGGGTTGTCTGGGCAATGGCCACTTGCAGGAGAAATTAAGTAAAAATATCAATAACCCCCTTTGAGGCACGGTCCTTTTTAGAATTGTTCAAGAGAGACTTCACAAAGCATCCCTTCAGCCTGTCATGTTGTCTGGCAGAATGAGACTTGTTTTTTCATCTCCCTTTCCCCCTCCAGCTCAAATGAGGGCTTTCTTCCGAAAATGCAAGTCTCTTCCAAACGTTATACAATGTCTGCTTCTTGTTTTTAGTGATTTCAAGCCTATATTATGTTTGGAATAATGTGTTCTTTTATAGAGGATGAAAAAATGGCTGTCAACTGGATCTGCTTCACAAATCTCTGCAGTAGTGTAGCAGTCCCCCCCATCCAGGGATGCCGTTTGCTTAAGTAAATTGGTTAAAATACATCTTAGGAATGGAGTTTGAAACGCAAATTCCATGTTCATGCTCACATGCACATTAGTATTTTTTCCTCTTTACAGCGTTAATCACATTCTCAAAGCTGGTAACACATGTCCAGAGCCCAAATTGCTGTTAGTAAGAAATCTCTGACACTGCAGCAAATTTCTGGTGCAAGCGTCTGTCAGCAACTCCTAATTCCGCTCCTATTTCCGTCTCTGGTTCCGCGGTAGGTTTTTGCGATTAAAAACAAAAAACCACAAACTTACCGTGGTCTCCTGCGGTATCAGCACATCGTTCCCGTGATGGATGGGAGCTTAGAGGTCGCCTTGTTCTGGAGAGCAGCTCCAGAGGCTGCCGGGGGCTGTGCTCGTCTCCTCAGCTGCATCGCGTTCCTGCGCGCGGCTCCGCAACCACCTGATCCGCGGCACTGCAGAGCCGAGGGGCTGCTGCACAGCTGAGCGCGGCCAGGAACCTCCCTGGGCTTTGGGAGCGGGCAGGAGCTGCTGCACAGCCACAGAGCAGGCTGTCAGTGCTCCAGGCAGAGCTGCTCCCCAGCTCCAGGGCAGGCTGTCAGTGCTCCCAGCACGGCGTGGCAGTGCCTGCAGGGACGGACCGAGGGCAGTGTCTGGGGGCTCTTGGAGCCTGAGCTGGCATTGCTGCCTTTGGTGTTTCTGGGTGAAAAGTCAGGTTAGTTGTGTTCCTTTTTACCTTTGATTAACCTCTCCTTCTGTAATAGAGGTTAATGTTAATTTAGGCTTCCTGTCTTAAGCTTTTTTAAGCTCCACTGCCAGGGTATATTTTCATCATTTTAAAATACTTTTCCACTCCTCAGACCAGGCTGTCGCCGTATTGTCATGTATAATGTAGCTCAGCTTGTAGGATTTTACAGATTTCTACAGGAAATCTCTACCTGAATTCCTTAAAGCAATATGGTAAGAGTGTTTGTAGTTTATAATGCTGTAAATTCTAACAGGTTATAATGCAATGAGCCTTAAAAAAAAATCTTTGTATAATTGTAATGCTATTCTTTAGGCATATCCAGCCATATAACTTATGTAAGAAAAAATTATAAATATATTTTGCTATGGCTGTTATATGCACAGCAGCCAGGAATTGCACTTGCATAACTTACTGCTCTTTGTGGTAAAGATGCTGAAGTTCATTGTGTGGCCTGTGGTGCTACATCCACAAATTATTCCCTGCTCAAGCAAACTCAAAACTCCAAACTCTGCCATTTTGCAGAACTGTCATGGAAAGTTAACTGTGGCATCTAGCAGCTTTTTGCTATAAATATGAATATTCAGCACAGGTAAAAAAAATAAACATTAATTTACTTTTGAGACCACCCTGCTGCTTCCCACCCAAGAATTAGCTTAGCAAAGGCTGGTGTTAGGGGGGTGAGCTTTGCTGGTACTCAAGGCCCAGTGAAAAGCATGTAAAGCACTTGAACACCTTGAGTTCAAAGCAATCTGGTATCCATGAAACATTAAATGAATTTTTTAAGGCTCTATTAATAATTGAAAGCTTTCAGAAAATACTGCTTCAGAGGAAGAAATCAGTGAATGTGCACAACTAGTCCTGCTTATCATCTACCTGAGCGTGCTGCAAACTTTCCGGTTTATGCACAACAATCCAAAGGCTCTTGGTACAAGAAAACCTTTTTGTAGTTGTTCTTCAGGTGTTTGGAGCGTTTTAGTGACCATGATATTAACTGTTCCCTCATACTGTTCTCTGCTTTACCAGACTGGAGTGTGAAGGGACTGGAGATTTTACACCAGTCAGCTCTTGGCTCATATTTGACCTAAAGGAAATCTCATTCCTGGTAGTAAAGAACAGCCTCTGGCTGTTGGGAGGATTTGGTTGGTACCTGTAATCCACAGGTACCAGGTTGTGACCCTGTGACAGGCAGAAAACAGGCCTGTATGTGAATCCCACGATGGTTTGGGTTGGAAGGGACCTCAGAGCTCATCTCGTTCTACCCTCCCTTTGGAAGGGACACCTTCCAAACCATGGGGTTCCTCCAAACCCCATCCATCCTGGCCTTGAAAACGTCCAGGGATTCCAGATAGTTCAGACTTTGTTTTGAATTCGAAGCTCTGTATCAAAGCAAATACTCAGTTGGGCTTTAAGTGACCAAAACATCTTTGAATCAGACAGCTTTATTAAAATGAACTGGAATTCACTGCATTGACTGACACAGCCCAGTGGAGCAGACACTGCCCGAGTCCCTGTGGGGCTGTCTGGGAGCTGCATCTCCCTGGGTGCATTACGTGGATCTGTCTGTGCTGGAACACCCAGGCACGTGCACTCTGGCTTCTGCAGTCTCCACCTCTGGAATCTCCAGCAGCAGATATGAGTGGGCACGGTTTGTGCCGGATTTGGAAATTACTTGCTTCAGGCAGAAGCAGGTGGTTCCCTCTTGTGAAAGCTGAAGTTGGGAAACACCAGGGGAACGCCTGTGCCGTGGCCTCACTGTTCTTGCCTGCCCCAACTTCTCCTTTTTTCGCTTATTTGAAAAATACTTGCTTTAAGAAGAATGTGGAGTATTCTGTAAATGACTTGTGACAGTCTCCAAAGGGTATTCTGGCTGGGGCAGTGGTTGATGAATGTCCTGGATAAGGAGCTCAGGTGGTGGGGGCAGTGGTTCCTCTGCTGCCGAGGGAAATGCCGAGTGCTTGCTGGGATCTGAGCTGGGATCCTCAGGAGGTTCCCTGAGCCAGTCTGGTGGAGGTGGCAGGTCGTGAGATTCAGGTGGAGTGTCTGGGTGAGGACAGGAGTCACCTGCAGTGTTCAGTGTTTCTGAGGAGGGAGCTGGAGGGGGGTCTGTGCTGGGAGCTGCTGTTCCAGCCGGGGGAGGCAGCTGCCCATTGTCATTGCTGGTAGTTTGGTGGGATGGGTTCTCTGATCCAGTGGGATCCTCCTGTGAGTTTGGGCCTTGTTTCAGTTTCCAAGGCAGCATGAATAAAACTGATGACCGTTTGTTGTCCTGGTCAGAGTCCAGGAAGAGCTCTGGAGTGTCTCCATCTGCGAAGGGAGAGCGGCCTGCCCAGTGGGAATTGGCCAGAGCAGGCCCAGGCCTCACATAGCATTTCCACAGGAGAATGACAAGAATTGCCACTATCATACCAAGTAAAATGATGCCAATCAGCAGTCCTGCTACCCAGCTGCCATCACCAGCTTCCTCCTCTCCCGTGGGCACCGCAGGTGTTGTAACAGCCAGTGCTGGGCCAGGTTGGTGTAAACTGGGTCCAGGTGCTGCTATGGAAAGGGACTTCCAGATTGCTCCACAGAAGAGAGCCAGGATGACCTGGTTGCTGGCCATTTCCCTCCAGCCTCTTTAAACGTGTCCTCTCCTAATGCAGGGAAGAAATAGAACGTGGTGAGTTGAAGACTGCATTTATTGTATGGTTACACTCTACAGTTCATGTCAATACCATGGCAGTGAAATAACACTTGACCCAATGTTTCAAATTTCAAACCTATTCCCATTGGTATGATCAGCAGATTAGCCACTGACTTTACAAATAACAGCAGATTTTCAACATTATTGGTTATTGTAATTAAGTGACTTTTAAAAAGAGAATGTCTTGGTTGTTATTATCTTTTTTCACCTTATCAGAAAAAGGCATCAGCAGGGCAGTCCTAACAGGGCTTCAAAATAACCTTTGTCAGTCGTGTAACTGGTCATGTACCTGGAACACTCTGCAGCACTGGCAGCAGGATCGACACACAGTGTTGCCAGGAGTGAAGAAATGGTTTGTTGTGATGAATGTAGGCTGAGACCAAAGCAAAACTCTCTTCACAGATCTCTTAAATCACAGATCTTTTATTTCCTGTTCTCACCTCTCTTCAGCATAGCAAAATATGCAAAAATTTCCAGGTACTGGTGCTGTAATGGAACAGCATTCTGATGTAAACTGTTTTATAAATAAATTCCTGCCCAGGCAGTGGAGGAGATTGCACAAATGTTTAGCTGTTGGCATGAGACAGTTTTTTTTTCCTATACTGATTAGAGTTCAGATCTCTGAACATCTCCTTATGAAATAAATGATATAAAATCTATACCCTACACAGAACCTTTCCTTCTGAAGTTACTTTCATGCACTTTGAGCTAATTCGTTAGCTCCAACAGTGCTAGTCCTTGGAAGCTATTTCTGAGAAATTAATATGCATGAGTCTTTATGGGTTTACAAATATGCAAAATTGAATTTTAAATGCAACAGTGTAAACAGACACGAGTAGTTAATTCATGCATCTTGAGAACATCAGGATCCAAATTCTGTCAGGTTTGTAAGAGGTTAAAACAATTCAGTTGAATTTTTATACTGCTCACCTCTTTTCAAAAGAGAGACAAATAATACTTAGACTTCATGGTAATTCATAGCAACATCCACAGACAACAGATTTGAAACCCTCCTGCTTTTAAGATGCAGACATTCAAGAGGAGCTCTGAACACACCCTGGAGCTGGGATGGGCACGGTGCTGAACACGGTGCAGCTCCATTTCCACCCAAACAGTACAGATCCTGAGCTCTCCCGTGCTGGAGCTGATCCTTACCTTACATTCGTCTTCTCTCAGGCAAGCATCGTCTCACTTTGTTTGAAGGCTCGGGAGGACAGGGAATGTGCTCCGAGCCGAGCTGCTTAAAATGGCCCCTTTCCTGCTGAGGTTGGTGCAGTGAGAGGAAGTTGGCCAACCCTCGCTGCAGGAAGTGTCGGGAGCGGGGAGCTCACGCTCGTATCGCGGCGATGGCGCGTTCCACAAGCAGATTGTTCTGCTCTGCTGGGTTGGACTGTTACAGAGGTGTTGGTGGCTTCTGCCACGTGAGAGACACGTATGTGGAAATTCGTGAATGCTCGTTTGCCTGTCTTGGTAGAAAATAGTTACAGTTTCTTCTCTGTGAGTCAAAAGCTATGCAAATTTGGGCTAGATTGGAGTCACTGGTGTAGTTTCAGTGGTGGGTTTGGTGCCCTCAGGATTATTAGTGGGAAAACCAGCCTTGGGCAGTGAGTCACGGAACGCTGTCTGATCACATGGTGTGCTGGCTGCTTGCACATCTTCAGTTGTGCAGTTGCATGAAGAGGCAGATGAACTCCAGATTCACCCTTGGCCTGTCCCCCACTGTTGTGTTCCTGTCTGGACCATGTTGGTACCTGCTGCCATCATTGATGGGGGCCTGTGCTCTGAGCTGCTGTTTCCCACTCTGTTGTTGTGCATACCATGTAGTGTAACTCCAGCTTCTTGCTTTGCCTCCTTGACCATTTTTGCCTGGAAAGGCTGCTTGGTGAAAAGACACCCACACCAAATGTGTCCTCATGGCATTTTGCGTGTTCTTTCAGTGGCTGCTGATGGATTGCTCCACAGCTTCTTCATCTCCTCCTGCCTTTCCTGTTGTGCCTCTCTTCTGATTGCACTGCTTCTCTTTTTGAGACTGCCCCTGTTTCTGCAGCAAACACACATCCTGATGTCGTGCCCCCACTGTAACTCAATATTTCCTGTCTGATTCCTGTGTCTCATCCCCATTCTCCTCAGCCCCCAGTCTGCCCTGGCTGTTCCTGTGTGCAGTCTGGCTGCCCTGTAGGGATCTGCTCTCCTGGGTCAGTTCTCTTCTTGCCTTCCTGGCTGGGAGCAGTTTTATTCCAGGGCAGATTCTCACGTTGGCTCTCTCAGAGCCTCTTTTCAGTCCTTGCACAGTCTCTGCTGTTGCTACCTGTGGCTGTTTCGGGGGAGGAGGAGGTGACTGCAGGGCAGCACCCCCTGCCCTGCCCTTCAGCTCTTTGTCACCCCTGTGAGGTGTTGTGTTTGTCTCCTCTGGGTCCTGGGTTGTCATCACTGCTCTGTCTCTGTCCCCTTATTATTCTCCTGGCCTTTCTCCTCATCTTCTGGAGTTGCCTGACAGAATCCTGTGCCCTCCCATCCCAGTGTGCTGGACTCTTGAAGCCCTTGGGTCTGAATTCGTGGTTTAGGGGAGATTTATGGGACTTTGCCTGATGGGTGTTTTTTATTCCCATGAACTTATTTTCTAACGACTCCCAGTTCCAGGCTAAGCACGTGAACTGCTTTGTTCTCCTTGCTGCACAACCCCCTTTGGGCTGGGCAGTTGCATTCTCTGGGCTCTCTCTCCTGGCTCCAGGCTGCTCCTGCCTCTCTGCTGCTGCTCCACCTGCCCCTCCAGCCGAGGTGCTGGTGATCCAGTGCAGGGGGATTGGGGGTTCAGTTGTGTCCTGATCCTTTCAAATTCGTACAACCATCCCACGTGCCAAAGCTGTGACAGCTGCCCAGGCTGGTTTTTGGAGCTTTGACACCAAAGTGCAGTCTCAGCACTTGTAACCCCAGTGCAACAGATCTGCGACCCAAGGAGCAGCCTGTGGAAAGCTTCTCATGTTTCCTTAAAACAGCAAAGCTCTGCTGCAGGGAGACCAGGCAGAGGCATCTTTCTGGAACTGTGGTAAATCACATCTCTCTGAGAATAAAGAAACTGAAAGTTCTTGTGGTTTTAATAAATTTTGGGCATATTTTAATTGGTGATAGAAGAAAGTGGAGTGTGTTTCTGTGATGCAGGAAATCACAGCGAGTCATCAGAGACCTTTACTGAGCTCAGCTGATGTTACAGGAAATTCCAAATGCCTGGTGTCCTATTTTTTTTCTAATATTTTGACTCAGAGAAATAGTGTCACATAAGTCGCGTTGTTTGAAAATGGATGTTGCAAGTTTATTGGGATAAATTGAAACAGTTCTCATGTTCTGACAAATAGTACAAACTTCAGCTCTTCATACACAGCATGGAAACACAATAAATATGTTTGAATCTTAGTCTGGTTCCAAAGAGATTAAGCTGGTTTAAGAAGTTCTTGATGGGAAAACCCAAAAGGGCATTTTGAGAGGGACTAGATCCTGATTCAGTGGTTGAAGTTGTGACTGATGTATGGTTTTCCTAAAAAAACATCTTGGTTATACCTGTGCAGTGTCAGCTGCTAGGGTGTGTTTATCAGACTAACAGTCTGTTCTCTTCTTCCCCCTCATGGTCTTTGAGTGTGGGCAGATTGTGTCCCTTTGTTTACCCTGTTCGGCTCCTGTCACAGTGATTTCTGGTCAAAGGAGTAAAACCAGTGATGCCACTCCACACAGAAAGCTATTGAACACAATCTTATTCCTTCCTGGATCCACACGTGGCTGCAGCATTCCCACTGGCATAAATAATACCTAAAATCTGAATTTAGCTTCCCCAGGGGAAAATTCATGTTGTTTCTTAAAAGCTGAGTTTTTGCCTTACATTACTGATGTAAAAAGGGCAAAAGATGATTTTTTTACCCGAGTGTGAATTAAATCTCAACTACAAAATTGGTTAAAATGGGTTTGTGTGACTGGGATGTATCTTTGTTTTCCTGGGCATTATCTGTTTCACCTTCGGTTTTCCTTCTGTTCCTCGTGTCCCTCCCTCCTAGCAAGTCCTGCATTATCAGCTGGGTTCCAGCTGGCTCCCTGGGCACCCTCTGCCACGTTCCTGCTGCCGTTGGCCATAAGCTGCTGGTGGCCACAATGTCACCGTTGCTCCTGGGCCTGCGCTTCCCCTGCTGAGTTCTTTTGAGATAGGACAGTTTATTTGCTATTACAACTGTTGACAGAAATAGGAAGGTGCAGATAAGCACAAGTACTGCAATGATAATGAAGCAAATCACTATGAGAGACTTGTTGTCTTCACATGTTTCCCTGGTCACTGGACTCCTGGGTGTGCTGGTGTTCCTGGGTCCTCCAGTGGCAGAAACTGCACTTGTGGCAGGGGAAGAGGTTGGATTTCGGGCCGTTGTGGAGGAGAAGGACTGCAGGGTACTTTGCATTTCAAAAGTAGTTATTTCGCTGCTGAAATTGATGCTGAGAGGAGAATTTGTATTGGCTTCTGTTCTGTTGTGGCTCCCACTGAGGTTCTGGCTGATGGGACTCCAGGTTTCCTCTCTACCCTGAGGGTAGGTGTGGTTTGCACTCGTTTGCAAACACAGGGAGAAGATCATCGTGACAGGGAGGGCCAGGCCTGGGTTATTGCAGCTCTTGGTCTTCATCCTCCCAGTTAGTCCCCTGCCAAAATACAAGTGGTGCTGTTAGTTTAGCAGGTGCTGGTTCTTGGGGGTTTGGACCGGAGTTCTCAGGGAATAGCAGCCTTTCTGGTGGACAGGGTGTGTAAGCTGGCCTCAGTTCTAGTGGATGTAGGACGTGTGTTCAGACACTTGGTTTAGTGAAAGGATAAGTTGTCTCCGACTTCTGACAGTTTGGGGTTTGTAGAAAATATATGAATATTAAAAAAGAGGGAAGTGTTTCCTACCACCTGCCCAGGAATGTTGGGGCAGCCTCTGGTGGTTGCTGCTCTCCAGCACTGACCATGTTACACTCTGAGCTCATCCCTTCTGCTGCTGCACAGGGGAGGGAGGAACCATGTCAGGTTTAGTGCTTCCCACCCCCTGAATGCCCCTGGGCGTGGGCACTGGAACCATGATGGTAGAGACGGCAAGGGGAAAGCTTTCACCCAAAATGTTCCTGTGACAGCAGTGACTTTTGTGAACTGTTTCTCTTTCCTAGCACAGCTGGCCAGAGTACTTTAAAATGCCCAGGAAAATCTTTGTTCTCCAATTTTTCTGCCTTTTTGTACAAAAAGCTATTTACATAAATGTACTTGTATTTTTCTTCAAACGTGCTACAGATTGTGACATTTTTTTTAAAATGCCTCAGATAATTATGCAAATGAGATTAACCATTAGTATGTTCTGTTTCACATTTGGGTGGTATTCAAATTTGTACTTGTTGAATTTGTCTGCAGGGCAGGAAACTGATAGTTTCTGATACTGGTGGGTCTGATATGGAGATAAAAACCTCAGAATAGCAGCGAGGAACGAGCCAAGCTGTGAGCCAGGGCTGCAGCTGAGGCTGGGCCGTGCAGGAGGGGCACAGCACAGGCACAGCCAGCGCTCCCAGCACTGCACACTGAGCCCACTGTTCATTGTGGTGGCCCAGAGCACGCGGGCCTGCCTTAAAAATCAGCAGGCTGATGGCGTGAAGGGCCCCGCTCAAAATCACGAGAGCAAAGGAACTGATCTTTAAAGAGCTCTTTTGCTTTTTAGTCCAACCCCTTGTGTCTGGGTGTTGACAGAGACTCAGTACCCAGCGAGATCCAACAACAGAGCTAAGTAGTGACTGTCACTGCTAATTCCTTGGAGTCTGGTCGTGAATACCCTTTAACGTGACTGAAAATACAGTTTATCAGCTCCCTTGATTCAGTTGAGATAGTATTCCTACAGTTTGTTACTATTTTTGAGTTACTTAAACTTCTTTAAAAATACTTTTGCATATAATTTTCTACAGAATATAAGAAACTTAGAAGTGCAACTTAAAATAGGAGAAGGAAAATGGGTACTTACCTTGCCAAGATGTGATCAACAGAAAATGGGTGTTTCAGATATTTAGTCCTTTACCAATAAAATTTCTTTGTGCATATGTTTGCTCTGAGGATGTAAATGACCATCAGTGTGCAGCAAGGACCTTTGGGCAGTGCTGGTGTTTTTTAGGCAAATGTGTAACTGAAATGACATGTCGTTTGCTGTGCGTGGGGAACTCAAACCACAGTGATGACACACTTCCCTTTGGTGACAGCCAACCCACTGCAGTTGGAGAGGAAAGCCCCGACCTGCCCAGCTCAGCTCTCAGGGGACAGGAAGGGACGGGGACAAAGCCCTTGGGCAGAGCAGTGTTCAGTGTCCGTGGAACCTCCTCCCGTGTCCTGCACTGGGGTTCAGTCACGGCTGCCCCAGCACCCTGCAAGCTGCTTCTGTACCTGCAGCATTTAGCAGCTCTGCCTGTAACCTGCTGAGAGTTGAGTTGGTGACAGCTTGGAACAGGGGCAGGGATTTAAAAGTACCTTAAATTTTTATGAGCTACTGATGTATTTATCTTTAATTAATTCTCCTCAGTAGAATTCTGTCTGCTGTGTGAACACTGGAGATGTGGTTCAGGCAGATGTGTTGCCCAGGCTCAAAATTCAGAGGATCTTTGAATGAGAAAAATTATTTTTAATTATGTGAACATTTTTCTGGGAAGAGTTATTTTTGTAGACAAATCCTCTGTAGTCCTCAGAGGACTGACCATTCTTGGAAACACTCCCCCAAGCATTAGAATGTTGCAGGACATAGCAAATGGAATGGGTCTGATTCCAAAAAGTTGGTGTGTAGATATTTATTTATTCTTATTAAAACTTCTGAGATAAGTATATTTTTCCACATACAAAAATAGATATAATTTGAATGTCCAAAGTGGTAACAGAGGCACTTTTATTTTTAAAGAAACTCTTGAGCTCTTTCTATGCAATCCAGTTTTGATCCAGCTGCTGCTCCAGCATGGCTTTGATTGTTCTCTCAGTTAACCCCACCAATGTCTGTCTCCTCCCACAGGTTCAAGACTGGGCAGATCAATGGTGATCTGCTGATCTACCACGTGCTGCTGACCCTGAAGCCATACTATGCAAAGCCATACGAAATCGTGGTGGACCTCACCCACGCTGGCCCCAGTAATCGCTTTAAAACAGACTTTCTTTCTAAATGGTTTGTAGTTTTTCCAGGCTTTGCTTATGAAAATGTCGCAGCAGTTTTTATTTATAACTGTAACTCTTGGGTCAGAGAATACACCAAATACCATGAAAGGCTCTTGACAGGTCTGAAAGGAAGCAAAAGGCTTGTTTTCATAGACTCCCCAGGGAAGCTGGCAGAGCACATCGAACACGACCAGCAGAAGCTCCCAGCAGCTACCTTGGCTTTGGAGGAGGACTTGAAAGTGTTTCACAATGCTCTCAAACTGGCTCATAAAGACACCAAAGTTTCTATTAAAGTAAGTGCTTTTCATGCTGTTCCTGATGATTTTTGTGTCTCTTGGTTCTCCTTCCGTTTTGAGGAGAAATCACAAATTTCTAGTACGCCCCTTTAAGAAGTACAAAGTTTCATACGTTTATCTTTTATGAAATCAGGAGTGTCAGGCTTTTCTCTTTGTATGATTAACAGTAGGTGCTGAGCCAGTTTTCTGTTGTCTTTCCAAGGTTGGGTCGACAGCTGTGCAGGTGACATCGGCAGAGCGAACACGAGTCCTGGGCCAGACAGTGTTTTTAAATGACATATACTACGCCTCTGAAATCGAGGAGATCTGTCTTGTTGATGAGAACCAGTTTACCCTGACCATTGCCAACCAAGGCACACCACTCACCTTCATGCATCAGGAGTGTGAAGCCATCGTGAGGTCCATCATTCACATCCGGACACGCTGGGAGCTGTCCCAGCCGGACTCCATCCCTCAGCACACCAAAATCCGTCCCAAGGATGTCCCTGGAACGCTGCTCAACATAGCACTGCTCAACCTGGGGAGCTCAGACCCCAGTCTGAGGTACAGAGCTTTGAAATCAATACCAGCTTGGGTCAAAATGCGGGAATTCTCTCCGAGGCTTCCTTAGTGTTAGAAAATCTAATCATTTTTCTGCCACCACAGCTCCATAAAAAGTCATTTCTAATAAAGGAAGATTGGGTTTCTATAGGTGAAGAAAGGCACGTACACTGAGAGGAACTGAAGTCATGTAGGAAGCTAAATTTCTCTTTATAAGGAGAAATACTTCTGCCTTGCACTGTGTGTTCATTAGGTACCCTCGATTTCCATGGTGTTGAACCTGTACCCCTTAGAGCAGGCTCATGATCCGTGTCTGAACGGGCTGCTCTGGGCCCTGGGCAGGCTCTGTCCAGCAGCTCAGCTGCACCTGGAATGATTTAGGATTTCCTGGAGCTACAAGCCATTCTGAGAAGTCCCATACAAAGCCCTTCAAGCACACTCTGTAACCTCAGCAGAAATTGTTCAGAGCAAGTGGAAGAATAATTTCTTCTGTTTCTCCAAGGCAAGTGTGTTTGTCTCTGAATTGTAACTGGTGCAGGTGAATGTAGTGCAGGATTTAGATGTAATTTCTGTTACAGATTTGGGTTTTAAAGTGGATGTGGTTTTTAAAATGTCAGGGCTGCTACTGTGATGAATAATGTGTATATTTTCAAATGTACAAGAAAACTCCTACAAATCGTATTGTTTGCTTTGTTACAGGTCTGCTGCCTATAACCTCCTATGTGCCTTAACCTGTACCTTTAATTTAAAGATTGAGGGCCAGTTACTGGAAACTTCAGGTCTGTGTATTCCTGCCAACAACACACTATTTATTGTATCTATCAGTAAGACTCTTGCAGCAAACGAGCCACACCTCACTTTGGAGTTCTTGGAGGAGTGTATTTCGGGATTTAGCAAATCTAGTGAGTAACTCCAGTGTTTCTTAATGCTCACCCTGAATTTGAAAGGGTTTAGGTTGGTAGCTGTCTAGCTTAGTCAGTTAATCTTACTGAGTCACAGCAAGTTGAAATTGCAGATTGTTCTCGGAGCTGATTTGCAGATGCTCTGTTTCTGTGTCCATGTAGCCCAGCAGAATAATGCCCTGAAGGCAGGCAGTTTCCCAGACTGGATGGCAGCTCTTGGAACAAACCTTTTCACATTTGAATGTGCCCTCTCCTTTCTCCTGAAGCAGATTAAAAGGCAGCTGCTGCCTTTTTTTTTTTTATTTTTTTAACTGAAATTAATGTTAAAACGAGCTTTACTGGACATTAGAGAGGTCAGTTCATCCAGAGAGATCACAATACAAATGATTCCTTTCATATCCCTGGGATAGTTTGTACAGTGATTACTTTGGGAAGATTTCTGTCAGGTTGTTATTAATGCACCAGAAGTGGAGAATATTGCAGAACAAAAACCTAAACTTGAAGTGCATGAGAGTGAAGGGTTGAACTCTGGAATATCCATCCACAGAAGAGTTACAGGGTTCTTCAGTCATATGAGAACTAATCTTTTCAGAGGATCCTCCCTCTCTGTTGTACATCTGGCTCAGTTGCTCTCCTTGTGCATCTCTTTTTTCCAGTCTTAACACAGCTCTGACTTTACTGCTGGGAGCTGCTCATAATATTTTCCAAAGATTAAAAAGACAAAGAATGATTTGTGAATAGAGGCCAGTGCTGGCTCTGTGTTACAAGGTGCTTTTCTCTCTCAGGTATTGAACTGAAACACCTGTGTCTGGAGTACATGACTCCCTGGCTGTCCAACCTGGTCAGGTTCTGCAAGCACAACGACGATGCCAAGCGCCAGCGGGTCACTGCAATTCTGGATAAACTCATAACGATGACAATAAATGAGAAGCAGATGTACCCCTCCATCCAGGCTAAGATATGGGGAAGCCTTGGACAGGTACAAATTCTGCACCATTTGTAAACAGATTATAGAGTTTTTAACCACTTAAATGTCAATGCAGAGGAATAAAATGGCTCTTAACTAGCCCCTGTCTGTGAGCCACGTGGAGAATAGTGAGCAGGTTCTTCTGAAGTTTCCACTCTGTAAAATACTCCATAAGAACTTGGACAGATGAGACCTTGCTTATTTTCTTGGAAGTACATTTTTCTCTGCTTCAAATCTGGTTCCTTTTTACTGTGTTCAGCATTTTATAAATAGTTATGCTTTTAAAGTGAAAACTAAAATAAAAGTACTGCAAAATAAAATACAGTTTCTCCACAGTACTGAAGCATTTTGAGTAAAACCTGATGGAATTCAGCTTTATGGTTCTAAAATTCACATGAGGCTTTTTGCCAAAAGAATAATGAGTTACTAAAACTGATGCTTCAGTTTGTGATAGTTTTGCATCTTCAGCTAAAGAAATGTACAATTGCTGATTTCAGTTGTGCTTCGCTGTGGGAAACCCAAGTTAACCTGCCTGGTGAGAGAGGATTTCTTTTCTGTCTCAGATAACAGATCTCCTGGATGTGGTGCTGGACAGCTTCATCAAAACCAGTGCCACGGGGGGCTTGGGCTCCATCAAAGCTGAGGTGATGGCAGACACTGCTGTGGCACTGGCTTCTGGCAATGTCAAACTCGTGTCAAGCAAAGTGAGTCCCCTCTTTGCCTTAATTTCCTTTTATGTAATAATTTCAACTTACTTACTAATGTGACATGGGGATGCTTTCTGATCTCAGTACAGACAGTGATGCAGAAACCATGATAAAATAGGTTCCAAGCAATAGAATAATTCCAGTGTTGAACTGTGATGGTTGTTCCTGAACTTTGAGCTGTGCTCCTCATTTGAGTACAACAGAACGGTCGCTCTCTTTGCAGGTGATTGGGAGAATGTGTAAAATCATCGACAAGACTTGTCTGTCCCCCACTCCCACGCTGGAGCAGCACCTGATGTGGGATGACATTGCCATCCTGGCACGCTACATGCTGATGCTGTCCTTCAACAACTCCCTGGATGTGGCTGCTCACCTCCCCTACCTCTTCCACGTGGTCACTCTGCTGGTGGCCACAGGTCCCCTTTCTCTCAGAGCTTCCACTCACGGTCTCGTCATCAACATCATTCACTCTCTGTGCACTTGCTCACAGCTTCACTTCAGTGGTGAGTTTTTCCGGAGTTTCAGTGAAGATGATTGCTTCTTAATTTGTTTAGGAAATATTT